GGATGACCAGAGTTAAGCATGCATGCATGCTTAGGCTGATGTTGCATTCATGATGCTTCTTCACCGCAGTTGAGCTAACTAACACTTAAACTTGGTCTTTTTAAGCTGGACAAATTTTATTCCACTTTTTTGGTTTGTTCTGCCTACCTGAATAATCTTCTATTAACTTACACACATTGCTTACGCTAATTGCACTTATCGTCGTTAACTTTGTTGCGTTTGTGACATTTTTGGACTGACTTGTGGACATTTTGTACTTATCGCGAATTCTTTGCTAACTAACTTACATCATATGCTAATTTAGCGAAGAGCTATGTCGGCATAACCGTATGCTTTAACAGATATACTTTATTGGATAATCTCATTTCAAGTGATTGGCTGTTATTTGATATCCACGGTGTGGCTGCGCTTGATATGCATGCTGACAAGGTGCCTACCTGTCTATTACCCACTATCTCGTCCATATTGGCTGTAGGAGACAGATGGTCGTTGCTGGAGAGGACGGGGTGCACGGTCCTTGTGGCCGTGTTAGGATCAAAGAGTGGTTCCATGCACTCAGTGTGGAGCGGACTACGGTCCAATTACCACCCTGTGTGCGCTTGATTCCAACATAGAGCGTGATTGTGTTTGCCTGTGAAGGAGTGTGGGCCGGCTCCGTTGATGAAACTTGGGTTCCATCCACATGCCTCCCGGTCTTATTCCTTCGGGTTTACACTGGATATGGAGTGTGCGGATGGAGCTGTGGGTGGTGCAGCGCAAGCCACCCATGGTACCTCTGTAGGCACAGGCGTCCTGTGGCTGGCCACAGTGACAGGCAAATACGAAGAAGAAAATTTTTGTCCATTTTCCCACACAGTTTTGGAGTTATTTTTGTCTGTTTTTCATTGGGGGTGGGTAGCGGAATCATCGCAACAAGCAAGATACACGCTTGCCACTGAGTTCGCTTTTGAACGATTACTTCAAAGGTTTTCAACCAGCGGCACTCAGCATCTCTGGGACCCCATTCACTACAGCTGGTATCGGCTGGGATCAAGCGGCGTTTGTCTATCCGCGACAAGGCGGCAGTGGTGATCCAGCTTTCCGGGGGATGACAAGCAATTCGACAACTGACAGTACTGGTAGAAAGTAAGACTTCCTTGATGCGCATCCACTGCGAATTCAGACCATCGTCAAAGGTTGAGACAAGCAATGTTGACAGAGAAGCCTGGTACTTGGCTAACGTCGCAGGATGTTGCAGCTTTTCGACGTTCGGTCGGTAGTGGGTTCGTTTAGATGATTTTCCGAAACGCATGCAAACGTTAGCGGGAACCAGTGCATGATAGGAGTCCAGACAGGTTGACCAGTACGATCGGCAGTCTGTTATGCTTCCACGCCATCTTATTGCTATGTGATTATTGCTATTGTTGCTATTTCTTATTGTTATGTGATTAACCTGGGACCACTCTCGCGTTTGAGATGGCAGATGTCATGTAGCCATCTCTCTTTTCGAATGCCTAAAGCTGGTGCTTAAAAGAAACAAGCGATGATCAGAACGAAGAGTCTGCAGCCTGTCCATTGTCTGATCGGTTGCTACCGAGGGCAAAACTACCCCCAAGATAGTGCTCGCTTGGTGACAAGCGGCTCACTCGTGCGTTAAAATCTCCGACAAGAATGACAATGTCAGACATTTTTGAGGACGCAGAAGCTCGTGTAGCTGTTGGTAAAAGCAATCCTTCACTGCATCCGGGCTGCAGTCTGTAGGAGCGTAGGCGGAGATGACAAACAAGGCACGCGTAACATCTGACGCTTACTTAACTTACATGAACCTCGTAGTCTGATTGCACATAGCCGACTTCTGACTGGGATCCAGTCAAGCAAAGCGGCCTCAGCCCTGTCACAGTGCAACCCCAACACCAGCTTGATCAGAAGCGGCGGTCTCTGAGTTTCCGGAAAGCCGCAAGTGGTAGTTGACGTCGGGGTTTGCCCGAGAGGTCGTTGTGATGACCTGTTTTTCGAAAGGCGACAGATGTCCACCGAGGATGTCTCAAGGGTGCGGGCCGGGCATGCTTGTCGTCCGATCTGCGTCATAGTGTGCATATTGAACGCTGCAAGGCCGAATGGAGAGCCGGATCGAAGGAAAGCTTGAGCTTCGGTGGGTTGTGAGAACGATGTAACCACTAGACAATGAACACTAAAAATTGGGCTCAGAACTCTGTCAGATGCGATCAGTGAGTTATTGTTGACGGTGACCGGGGAAGACAAGCGTAACTTAAGGAACTGGACGTGGGACGATCTGTGGGCGCAGCGGATACAGTAAACAAAGCAAGAATGAAACCAGTAGTATAATCCATGGATGATTCCTCAGTGGGCGCGATACTACGCGGTTGTCCAAGCCGACGTAGAGAGTTGTCTTAGGGGGCCCCACCCCGAGCCTTTGATCCAGGATCTAACCTACAAACTAGCAGGGCGATATGAGGGTATCGTAACCCGTTGGCAGCCGGTGACCAAACCAACAGTTTATACGCCTTTAGGACTGAAACGGATCATAGGCCCAACACACCCTTCATTTACGATGCCGCTCAGAGAGAGGCAAGGGACGGTGACCTTATTTAGTGGCGAGTCCCATCCGCCACGTCAGTGTTGTTAAACGGACTTTTTATAGGGAGAACGCTTGCCAAGCGAAAACCCACCACGTCCTGGAACACTGCCACCGAACCAATCGCTGGAACGGGATAATCCCGAACCACCCGGTTGGCACGACGAGGCGGTTGTTCGGCAAGCAAGCACGAGAACAATCATTACCTGGGAACTCAATTATCCAGGTAGTGCTCAGCTCACCTTTCGTGTAGAGCAAATGAAACGTCCTCGAGCACCCCCACGGTGTGATTACTTTACGGTAGAATTTACATCTGTCCCCGTCTTCCTTCATTTAATGACTAGTGTAGCTTGTCTTGATTCCACGAACGAATCAATGTTTTGTTTTCCTTCAGTTCTGCTAAGATTCGTCCTTGTGAGTTTAAAGGATGTTCGTAAGAAGATCGGTATCCATTACATGATGTCTTTCACTGACAGACAACACTTTTCTGTTGCATTTTTCATGACCGATAATGGTTCTGAAATGGTGTGGATATTCACTGCCGTAAATGCTTGTTGACTTAATAAACATATTGACACCACCGGCTAACTGCGGCTTCTTACACCATACTCTCCTCGTTTCCACTAAGGCTATGAAAGTATACTCAATTTTTACCGAAACACGCATTTGTCTTCACGGTTTGTACTGTGAGAGGTTATTAGCTGCCTAGATTAAGTGCTCGATAACTTCAGGTCGCCGCTAGACCATCGTGATCACTGTTGACTTAGCATGTAGCTCAAGTCCAGCAGAAGGACTTTGATCATCACGTGCCGGAACGTACAGCGCTCAACTCCAATCTACTGGTGAACATTCACATGCGGGCTTGAGACAATCAGTTCAGTTCATTTAAGCAACTATGAGGTGGATCCAGTTGCCACCATTCACGTGGACAGAATAACAATAACTAACAACAGTAAGAAATGAATGAAATTGTTACAAAGAAATTCGTATCAAGGAAGCAGTGCATGAAGCTGATCGAAATGGAAAATTAACTACTAGATGCAAGAAACCGAATGTTGGACGAACACCATTGAGTGCGCGACTACGCCATATCTTATAGGGTCTCCAATCACTGGTGTAGATCATCCCGGTGCCCCCATCCACGAGGACGATGCGCACCAACCTGGTCAGGCCTCTAAATTTCCTCATGCCCCTATGCCATGTCAGAAACCGGTCAGCGGGCGTACTGAGGGCGACCCAGCCATCGCAAGCAGTTGAGCTTTAGTAGACACTCGAGTGAAGCACCAGACACGACCACAAGAGGGCTGAATCATCCCCTACTGTCAGTCTAAGTCAACAGAGATCTGCTACGGCGCGGAGTGTGTCTAGTTGGAAGTCGAGAGTAGGTTATCGTTGCTGTGATTATCATTTTTGTTATTATTTCGTGAACTCATGCTTCTGCCTGTGTCTATTTTAAGCGAGCATTTTGGTTCAGACTTTCCCATCTCTGACAATTGACTCAGTTATCTAACTCAGTGCGACAGCTAGATCGTATAGGAATCTATGTTAGCACAGAGACGCGCGGCCTCGGCAGGTATACAACCATTCCTCTGCGTCACCCCACTGTTTCAAGTGCTATATCTATTACTGCGGCCAGCTGCATGCAAAATATTTTGGCTGAATGGTATCTTATTGACCAGTGATTGTCTAGGTTGTGGCAAGCAGCGGTAGATGTGCTGTCTCACTGTCGCAGAGACTACTCGTGACACTCGTGTCGTGTTGATCGAGCTGAATACCCTTATGAAACTCCTGTGGAAACTGTTTTTCCCGTCTCCTGGTCATCTGTCCTTCTGTGTTATTGACTCTGAGCGCAGTTGCCGGTCCGTAGCATCAAGGATCACAAGCGTACCTTGTAACCCGAGGGCGCGGGTTCGAGTCTGCGTAGGGACCGGGCGACTCTCGCAACACCCTTAACGCACGTGCGATTGGTAGTTGGTGCCTATCAATGAAGCGTCAATACTACGTACCGCGTACTGCTAATGCGTCTCTGATGGTACTTGTATAGTAGCGTTGTATAATTATGATCAACATACGCAGGTAAAACTGTATCACCTCTTGAGTTTTTCCCTTCTAGGCGGTTTTGCCCAGTACCTGACTTATTTGCAGTCGTATAATCAAACCTGTTTCCGATTCCCTAATCCATCTCTTGTTATTGCTTTAACACCCTTCTTCACTCTTCACGTTTCCAGTGGTTTGCAGCCGAATATCAATTAGCTCCTTGTTATTGCATTCAAAACTCGCGATTTTACTATCTCACTACCGTATTTGTTCCGTTGCAGCGTTTTTTCACTGAACATTATCTTGAATTTCATCAGAATCCATCTCCGTTTTCCTAGTGTTGATGCGAATTCTAGCACATGTGTTCTTACTTGCAACCATCTTTCAGATGTGCTTCCAGATGATGAGGTAGGTCAAATGATCATTGACATTTTCGGATGGAGAAACCATGCCATGCAACACTACCGTCAATTGATGTATTGGATGCCAAAACTGAAGCATGCAAACCCTTGGCCGGTGGAGGCACATCAGATATTGGATGATTTGGAAGAAGACCCCCTGCGATTGTGTCGGCTAATTGTGGAACGCATTTGCCCAGATCCTATGACCGAGCTTCGTACGATCAAGGTAAGTGTTTCCATTGGGTCCATGTGCATGGACCAACAGTTCTGAGAGAAACATGGTTTACTTCCGTTAACTGTACGGCTTCAGTTTATCACCGAGGTGCGGTTGGTCCAGTTGCCTTGAGTCATCAAAATACTGGCAAGAATAATTATGGTGATGATAAAAATAATATCCCAAGTGGGACCAAGGAGAATTTAATTCAGTAATCGGGACAGCCAAGGGTCCGATGTGTGGCAAGACCACAGACACCAATCTGATTCAGAATTTCGGTTAGATTCCTCATGCTACTCTACAATCCAGTTGACTGAGTACCTCCAGCTTCTAACTAGTCAGACGCAGTATTGACAAGCAATATACACTGAGGCAGATGGTTCGCAGGCATGCGGAGCACACGTCATAGCTAACGCGATTGTGCTTCAGTGGGACATCGGAGAGTCCGTTGCCGAACATCCTTTAGATGCATATTTTCAACAAACAGGCTTGCAGATAAATGCATCTAACAATAAGTCAGCGCACGAGTAGATATGTGGGGCACACGCCCAGACGACACTTTTCCCCTGTGGTCGGGACATCGTCCGCGTAGGGGCGGACGTCTTCGCGGTATACTCAGCCCACTGGTGATGGTCGCGCAGCAACGAAGCGCCGTTACGGCGTACTGCTGATACAATAATTTTATTTAAATGCAGGGTGGATCTTAGTGGTGTATCCACTTTGTTTCGTTAAGGAGACACGCGCCATAAGATATATATTTGTCAATTCTACCAAGGACAGGGAAAGCTCATGAGAATATAAGTCACCCAAAGAGGAGACAATATCTGACAAAATTGTCCCTTGTCATGCAACCGACGCTGAGGGCTTTCGCACTCTATCCATGCATTTCTTCGTAAAACGTCTGTAATGTACAGCGTAGACTAACAGGCGTTAATGTCCTCTCATATAAGAATCATAACTAGTTAGGGAGCCCCAAATGTTAGCAGAAACAACTTAGAAATATACCGGAACGCAAGCGCAAGCGTCGGCCCGACTGGGATTTGTTGCATCTGTGCAGTGTTCTGAGAGGATTAGGGACACATGAAGAAGCGGGAGTTCTCCTCAAACTTTACGTCGGTCCACCGTCGTTTCTATAGCAAAAACATTGACGTCAGTCATATAATATTTGACAATCTCGTTTCATGCGCCGTTAAGTCGGTCCTCCAGAGTGATTGTCACGTCCGTGTTAAACGTTGGTTCTGAGGCCCAACCAAATCCAGCTTACAGTGCCCCGAAGCAGAAAGACTAACTGGCTCAATGAGGGCGCGAGATCCATACAACGGCACAAGTTAGTCGAGCCGATTCGTAACCGGATTTTTGCGTAAGTATCGAGCATTATGTGTCACACTTCACTGCTGCAGTGTGACAAGGCATACTTGTAGGTCGTATCGGCCGAATTCCTTGTTATATCGCGCGGACCTTTGTATGCTCCTTACGTACACCCGCGGAATTATATGCTTACAATGCTTGAGCCATTTATTGCTGGCATTGTCTTGACGCTCCGGATGGATGGATTGGCAATGCAGCGACCTTGTCAACGACTGAACCCAGGCATAGGAGCTTCGGTTCTTGAGAGGATCACTTGCTCACCTTCACGGGCAAGTTCAAACTACGAATTATCTTCACCATCCTCTTACGCTTAAGCTAAAGGTGAGAGATACCTCAGCTACTGTGGTTGGCGACACCCGGTTCCAGATTTGCCCATCACTGTAGCCTCCATGGGGACAGCCACAGGACGCCTGTGCCTATTCAGGGGCCATGAATAGCTTGCGCTGCACCACTCAAACTCCCCAGATTCAGTGTAAACCCGAAGTAATAAGATTGGGAGGCAAGTGGATGGGAGCCACTTTTCATCAACGGAGCCGGCCCACACTCCTTCGACAGGCAGAGCAAAAGGATACATGTGTGATTGGGGAATCATGCATACTAGACGTACACAAGGCGGTGGCTGGGCTGAATTCATAGAACCACTCATGAGGACCGTGCACCCCGTCCTCTTCAACAACGAATACCTGTCTCCTGGAGCCAATATACTCGAAGTATAGGCATACGTATCACATGGACCGCCTTACTGATCTGGATTAGTAAATTGAATCGGAAGCAGTCAACTTAACAAGCGCTACGTTGATGATTATACATTTAGCTTACTCGTCTTAGACGTTGGCCCAAGGTTGCGACGCTGGCGGCTTATTAAGCCACCTTGGCTCAGCCACTCGGGACCGCATGTGCTACAGAACAACGCGCTCGACGTCGATGGGCTATCCACCATCGGTGCCTATCGCTTCCACAACCGACGTTTCTTTTTCGCTTGCGGTAGTGATTTCTTATGCACCTAGACAACCTCCCTCTTGATATGCTCTCACTATCGCCATTGATCCAATGTCATCGACTCCTAACACCTGAACTAAACATCCGTTCGTGATAAATTCACTTTGCTCAAGTCCTGGTAACATAACTTCGGTTTTCCCACGTGCCACTACTCTGCACGCAGTTGGCCATAAAGCAACTGTTTCGGTATCCGGGTCGAATACAAGCGGCGAACATGTCCGGGCCACCTCAAGTGCCTCAGCAGAATTATGCAGTCCACTGCATACATGCCACTGCGTCGGAGCACCTCCGTGTCTACAACTCGGTCACTCCAGTCGATGCGCATAATACGACGCAGACTCTTGATGGAAGCGCTCCAGAAAACGACCTCCTTTCGGTACAGTGTCCACGTTTTGTTGCAATATAAAAGATCGGACAGCACCATAGACATTTAGACAGTGAAGTGGTGGTTGTTCTGCACACGTATTTTTAGCTTGCCAAATGGGACAGCCGCCTTCGATACAGGCATGCACGGTTCGCCCGCCATCTGCGAGTCAGTAGACATTACGCTGCTTAGATAGCGAACTCTCAAAGTGAATTCCTAGACGTTGCCAATGTGGATTTGCGGCAAGCTCACGGGTTCCACTTCTGAATGAGTCTGTCTTGCTTGTGTTGACGGTGACTCTTACTTTGGCCGCTGAAATCATGTGCTTTAACTGTTCCGCGCTGTGTGCAAACAACGTATATTCGTCGGCAAACAGCTAAATATGGATGGTTGTTTCACATCCTAAGGTTCCAACACCGAAACGGCGAAGGTTCAGCAACCCACTATCAATACGGTGCTCTGCACTAACACCATAATCACAAACCACATCAAAAGTGCATGAAGGTAAATATTAAACAGGGACGGGGATATGACAGGCTAGCTTCACACCAGAGACAACAGCAAAGTCGCCTGAGGTTTGTCCACAGAGCTAAACCCTTGCCCGCGCACCACTGTGCAGACATCCAATTAAACTTACAAACTTACTCGGGCAACCAAACATCAGCCACAGTGCCTCGCGGTTCGTCGTGTCAAATGCCTTGCAGTTAAAATGGCTAGTGTCACTCTCTGCATTTCTCCTGCAGCCAACGTGGCCGCGAATACCATATATATAGTGCTGCGGCCCGAACGGAATCCACCTTGCTCTCTCGCCACGTTGGCTTCAACTACTTGAGTGACGAAGTGTTTGAGCAGGATTCGGGCGGTCACTTTCCCCACACAACTCAGCGATTTGATGCCACGACAATTCGTACAACATTGCTTGCTAACTTTGCTCTTGTACAGTTGTAGCACAAGGGCATCCTTCAGCTCGGCCGGCACCTCTTCTCCCAACCACCGGGTTGCACCAAGTGGTGCAGCGCATTCACCAACGCGGTTCCGCCGTGTTACAATACTCCAGGCGGGATCCTGTCGGAACCGGCACACTTGCCGTTTCGCAGCTGAGCAAGTGCTCTCTGCGTGTCATCCGGTATCGGTGTGTCAGCAAGACACGTCTTCATCCCTTGTTGCTGCAACCCATACAACACAGTCTAGTCTATCACTGAACGGTTGTTCAAAAGAGGGTCCATGTGCCTGCATTATCTGCATTATGTCTGCAGGTAGCACCGGAAGTACCCTTGAGCAGCGTTCTCAGCAGATGCAAATTGGGAACATACATTGCCTTCAAAAAGCCAAAGAATTCTCTATGTTTGCGGCGTTCGGCGTAGCATTTCATCTGTTTCGCCTTCTCCGCCCACCATGCACTCTGGATGCAACGGAATTCTCGAGTCAGTCGCAGTCGTCAGGATCATCCACATGAGCAGCGAATTCTGTATTCTAAGCGTACACCAGTGCACCAATGTTCGCACCGTCGTCATCAAACCCATCGGGACGCTTACAGTTTGCACGCCTGATCGTTAACTCGGCAGCAGCAGTCACCTGTTCGCAGATCGGATGCCACAGGTCTTTGAGGTCATGTATTCGACAACAACAAGGCAGGTACACATCGCCTTCTCCAACTCCAATCTTTTTAGCATTCCCTAAATAACGAAGGTTACATTTCCATCGGTTCACGGCGGGTAAGCAATACAGATTTACGAAAATCTGTGTACAATTTGTTCCGCACAAACTTATGATCAGTGCCATACTCAGCTCCACGTAGCACACGTGTCATGCGCACTTCCCGCATGTCACGCTGGCATACGATGACATAGTCGATCAGGTGAGCGTGGCCACTCCAGGGGTGCGTGCAAGCAGCTATATTACTCGTACCCAGTGCAAACTGTGTGTTTGTGATCGTCAGGCCATTGGTGGCACAAGGTGAGAGCAGCTGGTCATCGTTCCGACTGACTGAACCAATACCGTTTGGACCGATTACTTCTGTCCACACCGCAGCATCACGTCCAACGCGCGCGTTGAAATCTCCCAGTAGTTAGGGTCAGTAGCTCCTCGGCACGGACCGTATCACAGATAACAGCGCAAAACTCATGCCTGGTCTCATCAGGATAACGCTTGGTGGGAGCATACGTGCTAATAAAAGTGGCAACTTGCCTCCTCAAAGCAGCAGGTGAAGTGTCATAAGTCATTGGGCTTATACCAGTCGGCACCCCCAATAGCTGGCAGCTTATGCGGTCGGACAATGCAAATCCGACCCCCATGTTCACGGGATGCTGTGGTGGCGTTCCCCAAC